GAAAAGTTGATAGCCAGCTTTCAACTGACACTGGTACTTCAAGTCCTTGTAATTGAGTATTCTGCTCTTTTCCATGCGTGTGTCTTTTCGAAATAGGGCATAAAAATCTTCCTTCATGCTGTCTTGTTTAGTAGTCGGAGATTCACAGAGAGGCTTTTCTTTACCCTAATCAGATTTTAATAGAGGGGATTAAAGCAGATACCTGCAAACTGCTGTTTCTGATGTTGTGTTGAACCAGTTTTTAATGTTATTGCATAGCTGGTGCCCTTGGTCTTTGATATGCAAAGAAAAACATTACTGATGTGGTTTATGACGGGCTTAGCCTTAAATGTCTGACTAATTAAACTCAATGGATTCTGGAAGGTCATTAAAGAGGTGATCATGTCTTTCCTTTTGCATGGGTAAATTCCTTTCTGAGGCTTTGCACAATTGTTAGAGAATTTGTAGCTCTGCTGTAGAAACTGAAAATAATCTTCCAGAAGAAGCATGGCCACTGACAGAAGGTATGTTTTATTTTGAAGTTGATAGGATTTCTTGATGCTGGTTTAATTATATCTCCTTCAAAGTACTCTTGTAACCATTAACCTCATTGCTGCTCTGTTACACTCTAGAGGGTGGCAAAAGTCCCCTAAAACATCCTTGGAGAATTGTTCTGTCACTTCTGTCTAGTACATATCAGATTTTGTTGATGTGGGAATAAAGGAAAAAAATCATACTCCTTTTCAGCAGTTCATGTGGATTCTGACCATTTGCCTCTGCAGACCATGGTCTTTTTAAAAGGTAACCTTTAGGAGCTACTTAATACAGTTAAAGTTTCAGCCTACCAGTATATTGGTTCCTTTGCTGTCTGAGAGGTCAGTATTGAGAATCAACACCTGATAAGATCGCTGATACCCAAGTTCATAGTATTCAGTATGACTCATTTGGCCAATATTATTCAAAACCACAGTAATATTGAATAGCTCTTTTAGCTTTGAATCGTTATTTCCTGTGCTGTTTCCTGTTGCAGACTATGCCACTCCACCAGAGCTGCCCTATTTATTGGAGGGGGCTTAAATCTTAATCCTGTGCTTCGATTTTCTTTTAGCATATGAAGATATGAATTAGTATTCAGAGCTTGCTGCTATAGCTACAATATATAATTTCTTTGCTAATGTGAATCCTTAAATTCTCTAGTGTACAGTCTATCGCATATAGCTGTCACCACATAGAGAAGATCTGTTCCCTGTGGCCAGTCTGTCAAAACTGAGAACCCAACTGCCCACCTAAGTCTGCACTTTTCCCTGGCTTAGCTGAACAGAATACTTCTAGGGGAAAAAGCAAGTGAATCCAACTTGGAGTTGGACTGAAGACAAAAATCGTCTCCCACAGGACTGTACATCTGAAGCTTAAAGGAGAACAGCAGCTTATTTAGATAACCTGACAGCCTTATGTAGGATGTTAGATGTGTTTCACATCTGTCTAGCCAAGTAAAAGGTTCATTCTTGCAGCTGTGGTAACTACTAGCTGTGGCACCAGTGTGCTACCAGTTTAGATCATTGAGGGTTCAGTTTTCTGACTTTGCCCTTTCACAGATGATTTTGTGTGAAACTTGGATCTTGGAGACTTATTTAAGCACATAAATGGCAGCTGGTATAGATAAATATTGAAACTTAAAATAGAATTTAATTGAATATGTCACGTCAATATTTTCACATATAAAGGCACTTTGTCTTTGCTGCAGAAGCAGAACTGTGAGAATGTCTTGTGAGATTGTCTTTAATTCATATAATTTGTGTGTAGGGTTAAGGTTTAGGGGTGTTTTAGTTGACCTATAGAATTTCCATGAAAACTGTTTAGTCTTCCAGCATGAAACACTTTCTGTAAAATAATTAATTTATTGTTTCCATGGATACTGGTAAAGCCCTAGACCAAACATTTTTATCATGCATCACTATCAGTAAAAAGAAAATAAATAAATTGAGCAAACACCACCAATATCTGTATACCTTTTTATAAATGACATGCATGGAGTCATAGAATGGTTTGGGTTGAAAGGGACCTTAAAGATCATTGAGTTCCACCACCCTTGCCATGAGCAGGGACATCTCCCCCCTGGTGACACCAGCTAGACCAGGTTGCTCCAAGCTCCATTCAGCCTGGCCCTGGGTAGGGTGTCTGGAACTCAGTGACCTTTAAGGCAGTTTTAAGCTGTACAGTGTAATATGCACACTGAACATACATACATACACGAGAAATGGAAATAAAAGATGAGATGAAGATGAAGTAAGCACTATTTTTACAATTCATTAAGAGTAGGAAACATACTTTCTTTTCACACCCAAGTAGATTGCCTTGCACTCCTCCCTGGGTTTTCACACCCCAGTTTGGAAACCACTGCATTTCTTGTGGAGAGATGCCCTAGGCAGTATAAACATCACTTTTTCAGAGAGAAATTATCTGTGAAGAGTCCTGCAAATGTTCTGATGTACATGCATTTGAAACCCATGTTTTTGCCAGGGTTTGTATATTAAATAGATGGTTTATCTCCCCTTCCTACTTACATATCTGGGACTGGCTATAGAAAAGACCAAATAAAGCTTTATAACATTTAGTGGTCTGTTTTACAGTGGCTTTTCACACCCATGAAACAACTGGATATTTGATTTGGTTTATTGTAGAATCTAGGAGTAATTGCCTTTTTATTTTTGTACCTTACAGGATATCTTGGCTCTGTTAATTCACTCTGCAACATTCTGATGTTTAGCTTTGAATGCTGCTGTTGTGTGTTCTTAGTGCTAGGATTCAAATCCATGTAATCTGTGTTTGGGACATCGTTGTTTGCAGACTTTTTGCTAGTACTTTCCTATAAATAAGCTTTCATCTTCTTTAAGGAGAGCTTAGAAAACTAGGTGTTGGGGTGT